TGTTCTTACCCCCGTCCGCAAAGTGATCTGCCGGCTGCTTTTCGCCCCTGTTCACTTTCCGATGAATTATTGAGCAAACGCACCCCCCCTCCCTCCCTCCTGTCCCTGTGGCCGCACGGTTGCCTCTCAAATGTAAATGTGGGGCGGTAGCGAGCAGCACGATGGAGGAATCAATGACTATTGACAAAATTGAAAAATGCGATGTGGATGAGAAAAGAAAGAATGACAAAATTACAAGAAAAGTCTAATAATTTTGCTTTAAATGTTACAATACAAATTGATCCACGAAATAAAGAAATATTTAAAAAAATAAGCTGCAAACCCGTTTTACGTCACAGATAATCGCAGATATGGTTTTCCTAAGAACGATCATTGACGAAAAGCGGTAATTGATGTGGTTTACTTACCGTTGTTGAACTCCTCGACGGCCTTCGGAATGCCGTTGCTCTCTGTGTTCCGCAGGCGTCTCCCTGAAACAAACACGGTGAAAAATTTGATCGTGAATTCAGTAATAGCACACTGCACAGTACATACTACAAGCTCCTGGTTAACGTTCCAACATGTTTTTCCATAATTTTCGATTTAAAGCACCATAATTTCACTGAGGTAAAATAGCTGTCCAAATGCAATGTCGAGCAAAACAACCTCCTGCGGCTGAGACCCCTCCAACTGATTTTGACGCTGCACGCATTTTGCTGCGCGACGGCAACTGTAACTGAGCCGATTTGCCGGACACTGGTCTGCCCAGCGCAGCTGTAGAGCCTGGTAGGGCCGAAATCCGGGCGAGAGAAGGGGAAGAGGAAGGGTGGCCTAGCGCGGAGCGACAAGGACAATGGACTCACCCCACAGCTTGCAGCACATCACAGAGAGAGAGAGAGAGAGAGAGAGAGAGGGGGGGGGGGGCCGAAACGGCTAATTGTTGCGATGATTCAGGTGGACGCCGCTTATCGGCCAGCTTGCGCTTGCACACTCCCTCCCCCATCACCGCCTCTCTCCGCCTCTCTCTGGACGACTCATCGTGACGTCGGCGTCAGTGGTACGAGCCTGCCGAGGGGCTGCTTGCTGCTGCATTGTGCAAGACCACACGCCGCCGGGGCGTCTGCGGGGGCCGCGCTAAACAATACCGACTGCCGCCTTGTTTGTGTGAGTGCGAGTGTGTGGGTGAGAGAGTGAGCGAGTGAGCGCGTGTGAGTGCGAGGCATGAATGAGTAAGTGAGTGATCCGTCAGGCGGGTGAGTGGTGTTATCACGTTAGCGCACACCAGCCCGGAACCCGGCCCCGCCCTGTCCCGCCACCACCCCCCGTCCCCCAAACGCCACGCACCTCCCTATCCCGGGCACGGCACGAGACCAAACTATGTTGCGTCGTCTCACTCGTGAACACATCCCTTTCACCATACCGCTCTCTCCCTCACTCTATCCCCTCCACTCGGCTGTCGACACAAATCCTCTCAGAGAATCACCCAACACCAGGCCCGAGCCTATCCCGTGTTGTAAAAGGCGGACAGGAACACGGTCAGCTTGAGCAGCCCCCCCCCCCCCTTCAAGCAGAGCAGCGTGCGCGAGCAAGCAGGCCAGATCCAATTTCTCGTAAAAATAAAAGAGGTCCTCTGGAAGAAGGAATAAGCAGCGGCAAGCGAGGCTTTGGCGCTCGCCGCGTGGAGTGGGTGGGGGTGTGGCAGTCGGAGCCCCCTAACCCTCACCCCTCCACACGGTGCAGCGGCGGCTGACGTTACCCGCTCGATGACCCTGGCCCTGGCATTGAGACGGGAGAGCCTGGCCGGCAGGCATCAGGGCGCGGGATTAGCCCGCCAGACAATTTAAATAATCCCGCAATCGTGCGCGTCCACCCCCGACACCGGCAGGCTCTAACCTAACCCGGCCCTTCCTCCTCTCCTCTGTAAAAATAAAATCCCTGGTCAATACTGAAGGAAGGAAACATTGTTGTTGGGCCTCTGAAGGTACGATTATAAACTGTACCTACACTGCCTTTCACAAGACAAACATAAAATATTTGTATATTCTCGATTTTTCAGAGTGCGTCCATAATTGGCAGTATTAAACTTCTGTTAAATTCTAGACTTTGTCCACGGTGATCTTCCACCATCACCCTCGCAGTGCCCCCGACCCCCACCGACCTCCACCTGTACCCGCGCCTACGCCTGCCCTGCACCGCCCTTCACTTCCTCATGCCGACGGCGGGGATAAAACTTGTGCCAAACAAAAAGGGGAAGAAAAATAAAACACTTGAGGCCATGATCAATCTCAGTCAATGCCAACTGGAGAGGAAGAGGAGAGGGGAGAGGGGGGAAGGGGGCACAAGCAAGAGTGAAAATCA